ATGTTTGATCTATCATTTGAGAGTTTTCAAACCGGAGTTTAAACATTTCAATGCATGAAATAAGAAGCAACAAGATAGTAGTTAATTTAAATGTGGTTACATTCAATCAAACTCTTTTCCAAACACACATAATGGTTTTGGTTCGGTTGTTGCTAAAGAATACAGCAACACTTGATGAGATGAATAAAAATTAAACGCAGAAGTTGAAGTTAAAGTTTCAAAAAAAAAAAGAAAAAAAGAACATGGAACATGTAATATGTAATATGTACCATTACATTAATCAAATAGTCAAAATGTCAACAAAAACAGGTTAAATTAAACACCACAAAATCAAAGGACCCACTCCACGTAACACACAAATTGAAGCTGTTATCATATAGGCAGTAGCTAATTTAATTCAAATTAACGTAAGTTCAAATAATTATCGTCACTAAGTTTTGAATTTTGGTTGAATTGTTAGCACCTGAAATTTTAATTAAATCATGTGGGAGAAAGTGAACTTCGCTTATGAACTCCTTTTTTTATGCAGCTTGTGCTATTCTTTCTCAAAAAAAATTATTTTATCGTGCCATAATCATTTGATACAAATTATTTTGTAACAACGAATTCTTACAATCAAATTATTTTGGTTATATCCTCTGACTAAAAAGAAAACAAAAGCATCAATCTGAATCTCTTACTAAGCAGAGACAAATCATACGAACCATATGCATAACTAATTCAATTTCAACTCTCGTGAACAAAATTTGTCCTAGTGACAAAAAAAAACACATTCACCCTACATTAATGGTTAAAATAAGTATCTTGATTAAATGCTTCTCAAATGCCCACAAAAATCAAATCAAAAAACGTTTTATTGATAAAAATTTTTTTGCAAAATCCTAATAAATAAACAAATAAATAAAAACTGTGCTTGAGCTTACTAGACCAGCTTCAGAGAAAACCTCAGCAAGTCTGAAGAGCAAAAGCATTCGATTTATGAGTAGTTAAACACCTTTAATGCCATTGAACAATCGTGGCAAGTAGGCTGCCTGAATTACCACTCAATAATTACATTTTCTAAATTTCCAATTTTCAAAATTCAAACTTTCATATTATATTACAAAGTATGGTAATCAATAAATAAATAAATAAGATAACAAATGTATCAACCTTATCAAAGAAATCCACTAGACCCATTGAACAAATTTGGCAGAGAAAATTAGTGAAAAGGTTGAAATGGTTTTGTATTGGGTTCTGCATTCATCTCTAAGGCACAGGTTTTGTAAAACCAAAGAGCCAAACTCCAGACCCTTAGAATCTTAGATGTGATAAAAATAAAAATAAAAGAAACACAGAACAGAGGTATGAATTCGATTGGAACAACCTTAATGCACAATTTTGAAACAGACACAGAGGTTGAATAGTTACGCCGCTTTTGTAACCCTAAGCATGAGGTTTAGTGAAGGATTGGTGAGAGAATATATAGCCAACAAGGTAGTGTGAATGTCAGTGTTTTAACGCTGTTGGGCCAGAATACTTTGGATTTGTGCTTGGCCCATGTTAAAAATTAAAACAAATTACCTTCTTCTTTGTTGATTAAAAGTTACATAAATAACAATACCATGGTTAAAATAAATAATAAAAGTTAAATAAGGGTAAGTGAATAAGAAGGCAATATAATACGGAAATTGGAGATAAAAACAAATAAATAAAATATAAATGTTTATAAATAGATAAAAATAAGATAATTTTTATTAAAAAAATTATTTATTTATTTAAACTAGTAAGATTAAGACATTTCATGTTTCTACATATTTTATTAAATAAAAATATCGAGGACAAGAATGAATATAGGATAGGAACCAAGGATGGAGATGAGGATAAGGTATTGAAACCCACACTCATCCCACCCTGTTGCCATTACATACTTAGAATAGAGAGTTTACTCAATTTAAATTTGTGTGTTTAGTGTTTACCTATTAATAGTGGTTTTATTTAAAGAAGAGAGTGTACAAATAATAAAAAAGGTGAAACTAAAAATATTTAAAACAAATCTAAATTAATTAGTTAAAGAATGAATATGTCTTTTTTTTTTTTTGGAGGGGAAGAATGAATGTGTCTTAAAAAATAAAAAATAAAAAATAGTATTATAGATAGTATAACAGAAGAAAAAATATATTTTATGTCTTTACATATTTATTCAAAAGTAAAAGAAAAAGTAACATAAGTTATTAAAAATATCCCTTAGAAAAGTTATTAAAAATAATGGTGATGATTTTATTTAATGGTAAAAGATAATTGTTCAACAATGATTGTTATTATAAAAAATGCAGAGTTATTAAAATAAAAATAAATAATATTTTAAAAGAATATAAATAAATAAATTAAAAGGTAAAAGAATTGAAAATCAAAAAATGTTTTTTTTAATCGATGGCCAAACAATCCCAATAGGATTAATTAATAATCGACGGAATACAATGTAAATCTCCTTAAAAGGGAGAAATAGCAAAAGTAGGTAATATATTAAAAGTAAAGTTATACTTTTGGTTTCTCCATTTTTATGGATCTCAAATTTTGATCCTCTATTTTAAAATATAAATATTTACTCCTCGTATTTTTAAAATTATGAAATTTTTGTCATATAGTCAATTTGATCGTTTAATATTGTTTGATGATCTGTTATTACTTTAAGTAATGTGATATTTAATAATATGATATGTAAAGATAAAAATATAAAAATAACATGTAAAATTTTTTATTGCATTTATTTTTTTAGAGATTGATGTTTATTTTATTAATATAAATATTATTTGCACATTTGTTTTTAGTTTTTTATTTCTAAATATTATGTTACTAAATGTTACATCACTTAAACATGCATAAACGTTCAAATTTAGTGATTAATAGATGTCAATTTGATGAGAGGATCAAAATTTTATATTTTTAAAATTTTAGAAACCAAATATTACTAGTTTAAAATAGAACAACTAAAATTATGAATTTATAAAAATAAAAAGATAAAACTACAATTTAACCAATATTAAAGGTGCAGGTTTCACAATCTAGTGTCATCCCATGTTTAGCAAAAGAATCGGCCAAGTGGTTGGCTTCCTTCATTATGTGCAAGAACACATAATGTTGCATCTGCATAATAGCTTTATCTCTTCCATCACTTGGTAGCAATGATTTGTAATGGAACATCCTTCCTTTGTCATTCAAATTGCATATGAAGAATCTAATTCAACTATCATTTTAATAAATGTTATATACAATGATATTATATATACTATAATTTATATATTTTTTTTTTAATAATATATCAATATAAATTATATCTATAATATAAATAAAAATAATTTTTATTGACAAATATTATATTATTAGATAAGTTACAATAAGGTAAGTTACCATATGAGAATTATTTTCTTTTAAGTGGATGACTTGCATGTGCCCAAACGGGAGTAATCCCTTAGAAACATGTCATGTTCGTTGCACAAAACACTGCCAAGTCACAAGAGAAGCATCCTGCAAAAATGTTCCATTATAGTTGATTATGCAAAATATTTATATTAAACATTTTAATTTCTTATTTTTCTCAACAAAATGTTATGCTTTATGCTATAAAAAATTATTTTTAAAAGATTAAAATGAAAATGAGAATTTATTTCTCCATTTCACGACAAAGAGGAATTGATTTAAATTAATCTAGCAAAAAGATATTATTTGGTAGTACAAGATCTCCATATATCTGTAGTCTCCACCAACTTTTATATTACACTCGTAATAATAATTTTATGGTTAAAAAAATTGAGATTTATATAGTTGTGTTTTTAGTATCTCATATTTTCTCAATTTCCATTTTTAATCCCTCAAAAAATATTTGATTGGTTATTTACTCTCCCAAAATTATTTTGTTTTGTTTTTTGCCCTCATTTTTTTTTATCAATTTCTATTCTTTAGCTTCTCAAAAAATATTTAACTGATTTTAGTCCTCCAAAAATTATTCTATTTTATTTTTAGTCCCTCCGTTTTTTTTTTCAATTTCCATTTTTATTCTCTAAAATAGAATTGGTCTTTGTAATTCATTCTTCTAAAGTTTAGAACTATATTCAATTTTTATTAATATGTGATATTTTTAAATATTTTTTTATTAAAAGATTAAGTTATATGATATCATGTATTATCCATAGTTAATCCCATTTAAAAATAAGACTCAATTACTTGTCATGTGAATATTAGTAGAAAGTAATTAAGATGAACTTAGAAACCTAATAATTTATTCAAATGGTGAAAGGATCTCGGTAGTTTGTATGGAATCCTAGAACTAAACCTCATTTAGTGTTTTGTTTCTGGTCACATCTCAAATTGAATTTTCAAAAGTTTATAATTAAAGTTTCTGCATCTCAAACATATGTTTCTTTCATTTTCAACCAATTTCAAACACTAACTATTATTGTTAAAAGAAAAAAAAAATGTGAAATTTGGACTCCCTTTAATAGAGAGACGCCTAATGACACTCACTACACAACAAAACAAACTTAGTATTAAAATATTAATTTAATTAATGATAAAATGAAATTTATGAGAGGGAAAAAAATATTTTAAGGATGTTGGTGAAGTATTTTTTTTTTCTTCTTTGTGAGTCTCTAAAAAAAAAAGTTTGCTAAAATCTCACCAAATAATTATCACGAGGAAGGATTTCTTCATGAATCCAAACAAAAGAAAAATGATATGTGAGGTCCCAAATAATGAATACAAATTTGATATCTCTATCATGGTGTCTTTCTCTTTCATTTCCTTCGTCTGAATTTCCGTAAAATAAACATGCAGTGATCACTTAGCTTTGACTTTGAGATTACGACAGAAAATAATTCTAGAACTTCCTTCCCTCACGCCAAATCAAGATATCACTTCACGTACACTACATTGCCTTATTTTCATGCCTCTTTCTTACAAGCAATAGAAAAAATGGCTTTAGGGTTTGCATTATTAAAAGAAATCAAAATTTCCTCTCTCAAAAACAACAGTGCCACCTTAACAATCTCCTTCGGTTTTCTTTCATTGACAATAAGAAGTAAAAAACCAAAACCTCATTCATTAAGGTTTGGTTAGCATCCATTTAATTTTCAATGGGAAAGTTTCTATTTATTGCACCTTTGTTCCTCTTTTTCTCTTCCTTTTGATAATTATCCGTAGTTCATTGCATATCTTCTGAATTTTTTTTTATCTTTCATCTTTGATTTGCAGTGTCACGTTTAGCAATGAGGAAGAAATTAGTTCGGAAAATCAAAAAGTGGCTTTCGTGTTCTGGTAATTAACATGTTCATCTCTTTATGCATTGTTTTCCTGGTTATTGAGTTTGGTTTGTAGGTGCATCAGTATCAGAAAGATGAATATATTAATTAAGGAAAACAATGTTTCTTTATAAAATAAAAATACAAATTTGAAAATTACAAGGAGATCATTGATTATTGAACTTTGATATAGACAAGGCCTTATCTAGGAATTTCGGGCCTTAAAATAGGGACCTATATGTTAATATAACTTAATAATTTTTATGTTATTTTTCTAGCTTTTTGAGCTACAAAATTATTTATTAAAGTTTTATAATCAAGTAATTCTAATATTTCACTCTTAATAGATAATATAGTTAATTCATTCAATTTATCTTGTAGCATAGTTGATCTTATATGATATACTCAATTTTAATTTAGAAAAACTTCTTTCAGCAGTTGCAACAATTACAAGTAATGTTAATAATATTCTATAAATAATGTATGTATTTGGAAAATAACATGATATTTTTATATAATTCAATTTTTTTTAATGGTATGTTAATTTCATTTGTTAGAATTTCTTTTAATAACTTTAATTCTGAAAAGAAATCAAGACCATCAATATCAGAATGGTCCTCAAAACTCAAAATCTTTTCAAGATTGATACAATATTTTTTCAATTCATCTTTCACTAAAGTTTTATTAAATTTATTTGAATCAAATAAAAAATAAAACATGTTTTCATATTCTAAAAATTGTTCAAATCGACTCTCAATAGAAAAAATAGATTGATCTAATATATACAAAAAAATAATTAATGCAAAAAGAATTTCTAGCAGAATGAACTATCTTATCACTATGAATGTCATCAAAATATTTTTTCCTATGAATCTTACGTTTTTCATTGAACTTAGGCTCTATATTCATTTCAATAATCATTTCTTTGGTGGATTCTAATACAGATGCAAAATCATTTTCTCTATAATTTTTTAAATAAATTATAAGACCTCTTAAGTGATCTATAGCAACATCTATATGCACATCTTTAGATTGCATAATCTTACCTATAGAATTAATCGCAAAAAGTATATCATACCAAATATTCATTCTCAATAAAAATTCAAAATTCCTCATCTCGTAAGTCACTAAACACATGACTTCACTCTTTATCTTGGGATCTTCACTAGTTTTCGATAATTGAACAAGTGCATCCCTTATTTTTGGTGTTTGAAACTTTATGGTTTTAACGCTTTCAATTCTACATTCCCATCTTGTTTGAGGTAGTGATTTAACTAAAAACTTAGATACATTTTCTGGTGCTGGTTCAATAACATCAACCAAGAAAGAATGAGAATGGAGAGAAAATGAGAAAGAGATAGACTAGTGAGAAAACAAAGAGGTTGAAAATTTGTTATCTGTAAAAAAATAAAAGTAAGTAGTAATGACTGTTGAGTGACTTTTCATTTACAAAAACTAATAAATGGGTTGTGGTCTTTTAAGTAATTTTAATAATTAAAAAAATAAGAGATATAAAAAATATAAGATATGTGTCTTATAAAATATTGGGTATTATCTCAAATATTATTAATTTTTTAAAGGTTTATTTATATCAATAATACTACTATTAAAAGAACTTGGAGGCCTTATAAATTTGGTGACTCTAGGCATTAGCCTTAATTGTCTTATTGAATGTCCGGCCTTAGATATAGACATAGAAAGCTGAATTATATTTGCTTATGCAACAATATACTTCTAATAATTAAAGGTAAAACATAATAGTAGTATTATTTATATCAATAATACTACTATTAAAAGAACTTGGAGGCCTTATAAATTTGGTGACTCTAGGCATTAGCCTTAATTGTCTTATTGAATGTCCGGCCTTAGATATAGACATAGAAAGCTGAATTATATTTGCTTATGCAACAATATACTTCTAATAATTAAAGGTAAAACATAATAGTAGTATTATTTATATCAATAATACTACTATTAAAAGAACTTGGAGGCCTTATAAATTTGGTGACTCTAGGCATTAGCCTTAATTGTCTTATTGAATGTCCGGCCTTAGATATAGACATAGAAAGCTGAATTATATTTGCTTATGCAACAATATACTTCTAATAATTAAAGGTAAAACATAAACACAGCTTAATTTGTTAAAAGTTGATCTTGTTGATATAGACATAAGAAAGCTGTAATATTACATTGAGCTTTCTTGATCAACTCAATTGTTGCTCCCACCCTTTTGCCTCATAACTTATCATGCTGTAAATTCAAATTGAGCATAATGTTTCTAGCAAATATTCGTTAGTACCTTGTCCATTTGAAAGCTGATATTGGTTGTAGGTCTATTTGGATAAGTATCTCCAAAAGTACTTTTAAAGAGAAAAATAAAATAAGTTTGATCATAAATTAAAAATAACCCATGAGTTAAAAATAAAATTTTAAAAATATTAATACCAAAAAATTTCTACAAATTAACTTATATATAAGCTAATTTTATATTTTCTTCTCATTTTTATCTCTAAGAAATGTTTATACAGAAATCTACTCAAACTTGTCCGTTATATTTAATATTACACGTAGAAAATCATTTGGTTTGCTTGTGGGAAATAGGACTACATGATATCAACTTTTATCGTTCCCTCTGGATTTTATGTTTCTTTTCCCTTCAAATCCATTATTTAATCTGAATGTTATAACTGCCCTCATTTTGATACTACATTGCTTTTATGTGCTCTGTAAATGCTTTGGTAAGGAGAAAAAGAAGAATGCACCTTAACGGGGATGCCTGCATATGTATCACTAGATTCACCAGAAATACTCGTGCACTTGTGTTTATTTAACTTGATTTCATAAAGAATATTGCAGTTGATCAAGAAGATAGGAACCTAAGCAGATCTTTAAATTCCTTACAGTTAAGGAATTTCTCTCATTTAACAAAAGTATCATATCTTTAGCTTAATCAGAAACATCATCAAATTTCCACTAATTCAGATTAGTTATGAATAACTAATGTATGAAAAAGCAACCAATTATTTACATTATTCAAGGAAAAAAAATGTAGCATCAAAATGACAATGAAAAATGGTTACATTTACATCTTTGCATGATAAACAAATTAAGTGTTAGAGCCCTTGTACATATACATAATTATTATATGAAAAAACAACCTTAATTGTTATATTTACTAGTTTACATAATAACAACGTATTAACAACAATGACATGCAACAGAATGCAGCACCAGTTCTCCAAATCACCAAACTTGTGTGGACGTGCGTGAAGAATATGCCAATGCATTTCGTACAGAGTCATACACTGAGTTTTGGACACGTGTCCTTGCCTATTCCAAGGGTGAATCCTCTTCTTGTTTGTCACGAGAGTCCACCACTTCGGCCCGTCTACCCTCTTACCGTTTGTTCGCGGAGCATTTCTTGGACCCAGATCAGCCCACGGTTACTCGGGCCCTATCCGAAGCCCAATGCAGGCCCAAGATCCATTCTCTCTTGTCAGACTATTTTGCACACACTGCCAATGCTTCTCTTCTTTGTAGCCATCTTTTAAAGGACATTGATCGTGTACGTGTGAAGTATAGATCACTCAAGACCATTCTTCAATGTGTTCCAACCAATCAAGCCCCTTCCACAATGGTAATGGCCCACTTAACTGAATTCTCCAACTTTTTGAACCCATTTGCTGCATCCGGCTCATGTATGAGTCGGATGCGTGCCACTCAGTGTCATTATTTGGACTTACAAAAGCGGCTCGAGACGAGCCGCGACAAAGCACGAGCCAAGCTGCAATTAGCTGTTAGGCTAAAATGCGGCTCGGCCTGTCTTATTGTGGTAGTAACTGCTTCACTTGTTGTGATTGTTATGACTCATGGCTTTGTTTTGCTTGTGGTTGCGGCCGGGTTGGCTAGTACCATGGATTGGGCTTCAGAAAGGAAGCTGGCTAAGGTAATGGCTCGGCTCGATGCAGCCGCGAAAGGAACTTATATAGTGAATAAAGACTTGGAGACAACGAGCCGGCTCGTGGCTCGGCTAAATGATGAGTTTGAGTACATGAGGACCACAGTGAGATTTTGGCTTGAGAGGAAAGATGATAGGATTCAAGCCGATGGTGAAGTGGCGCGCCTATTGAAAAAGAACCAATGCAGTTTTAGTGATCTATTGGATGAGTTGGAAGAACATTTGTATTTGTGTTTCATGACTATTAATAGGGCTAGAGAGCTTGTGCTAAACAAGATCATTGACACAACTTGATACATTGCCAAAGTGTCATATAATGATTAACTGATAAGTTATTTACATTTAGTTTTAGTTATTGATTTGTAAAAGTAATGATTTGTATTACTACTTTATGTTAAAATTAGACCTAGTTTTACATTTTGTTTGGATTGTTGTCATAAACATGTACATGCTTTATCTTTTTTGCGACAAAACAAATAATAGAAAACACATAAAACAAACAAATATCCTCCTATCAATGCATTTATTAAGTATTTGTGCATGAAATAGTCAAAATGGTGTAACCTTCACCGGGAAGAGAAGGGTTCTCTACTTTTCTTCCATTCCTAAGGTTAAATGGGAAGTTGGTATGATTGATCTTTTAAGAAAAGTTTGGACACCATTCAAGTATTGTTCTATTGTTCACCACTATCACACCTCCCACTTCAGTTGTAATTTACATCAACTGAGATCGACCACTTTTTGTTTGGCATTGGAATCCTTTGCTATAAGATTTGTTTGAGGCTCCTCTAAGAAAAAAAAACTGAAAGTATCTTCCCGTGTAGACATGACTGCAATGGTGTTTGACCTGCCAAATTTGGAGTGAAATTTATCCAGAAAATTAAGGTAAATAATCGTATATGTTGTTGGAGACTTCTAAAAGTGAAGTCACACTTCTAATAGATGACTTATTGTTTTATTATATATATATATATATATATATATATATATATATGTGTGTTTTTT